TTTTTTATGGAGTAACGCAATATTGTAATGCATTACTTTTAACAGTAACTTTCCCCAACACTGCCCGTAATTCAAAAGGCTTAAAAAAGTTTCCTATGAGGGCTGAGTTGGTGTAGTAGGGCAATAGAATATAGTTTGTACAGTCCCCGTAAACCATAAAACCAACGTGTGTGTCTGTGTGTCCAAAGATATTTTCTTACTCCAGAGGGAGCAGGATTGTTCGGAAAGCCGAATACTTGGGAATTAATTTTAATGTAACATTTGTGCACTAAAAAGTATAACCCTCGTACCACGTGAAAACACCGTGTGGCGCTTCATCGTCGTGAAACTTTGCCAACAATAGTAAACAGTAAAATAGTAATTCGACCTCATGCCGGTAAAAACCCATTTCTTTAAGAATGTTTCCAATCTACCTTTTGTCTTATTTATATGCTTTTATGAGGCTGTAGGTGCCACACTAAAAATGGCGGCCTGGACTCTCCATCTCTCACGCGTTCATGTTCCTCACTTCCTCTTCCGCCCTCCACGAGCTGTCAATCTGTAAAGATCCCACCTGTCTAACGTCCTTAGCGCTGTACGACAATAGTGTATTATTCGCGTGTGTTCACAGTTCCTCTTGTTTACAGGTACGTCAAGTTCTTCTCCGTGTACATGACAGTTAAACGGAGTGTATTATTAGCTGGTGGATTGTACCTGTGCTTCTGGGCCAGCTGCTATTTGTGTGCATGACTTGTGGCCAAGAACTGTTCTGCATACAGAATGATTAGCTACTTGAGGATTTGTTTACAGTGACTGACACTCTCCCACCTGAAGGAGTATGACCTAATCTGTCATTTAAAACACTGTTGATATCTTTAACGACGTTTCTTAACTAGCCTTATACAACATATGTTGCATTAATTTCATAATTTGTATTCTGCTGATAATGCATCCTGTCATTTTGGACTGTTCTCTTCTATCTTATCTGAAAGGACAAACCTGGTCAAATAAAGATTTAATAATATTGATGCATGGAAAGGTGTAAGGCATTGTCGTCTGTTTTGATGCATGCTTTGTAATGTACCATTGCTCTCTGTCATGCATTCTTTTCCAGAGGATCACTCATCATGGCATTAAGGAGTGTAAGTCGCCTGCTTGTGAACAGCCAGAGATGTGTCCTCTTTACAGCTTCCAGATCACAGAAAACTGCTGCAGCTTCTCCATGGGGTAAGAACAGCAGTTTGTTGCATATATGTCTCTAGACATATATATATATATATATATATATGTAATGATATAATGTACACTTATGCACCCTTGTGTTATTCTAGACCTGTGTTTTGTTATTTTTTCAGTGGAACATGACCATGTCTGTCAAGCTAAAAAACAAACAAGCACCATAACTGTAATCCATAGTGTTTTTTGCAAAAACTGTATATCTTTATCAATGCATGTTTAATTTCAAAGCTCAAGATAGAATATATAGAATACAACTTTTTTAAAGAATTGTTGGTAACACTTTACTTGAAGGGGTGTGCATAAGACTGACATGACACCTTCATAATCATGACATGACACATGTCATGAATATGAAGGAGGTTTTATGCATGTTTATGACAACTGTCATTAAGTGTCATTCGCTCAGTTATGTAATTTTTAATGCAAAGATGACATTGTTTGAGATGTCTTTGTTATGGGCTATGGTTAGGGGTAAGGGTAGGGGTAGGGTTAGGGTAGGGTTAGGTCAAATAATGTCATATTTGCATTACAAATGACATAACTGAGTGAATGACACTTAATGACAGTTGTCATAAACATGCATAAAACCTCCTTCATATTCATGACATGTGTCATGTCATGATTATGAAGGTGTCATGTCAGTCTTATGCACACCCCTTCAAGTAAAGTGTTACCGAATTGTTTTTCATGCATTTCTATTTTCACATGCATGACATTGTAAAGATGCACAGGTGTATAATTCTATTATTCTATCAGGTGCCGAGAAGTCTGGCGAAAAGAAGCAAGTGAAAACACGTATGTTTACTTCTTTTGCAACATTTTCAGCTCTAAACGTGTGAAGATGTGGTGATCACTAACCTGCATGTCCGTTTCTAACCTGTGATATAAACCACAGCTAAAGCGCAGTTTAACTGGCGTGATGCTTTGGACCTGGATGGTCTCCTGACGGAGGAGGAGATCATGATTCGAGACTCCTTTCGCACCTACTGCCAGGAGAAACTCATGCCGCGCATCCTGATGGCCAACAGAAATGAAGGTGTGTGTATATTCATATCACATTGACAGCTTATAGTTTACAATAGGACTTCTAAAATAGTTCCCATTGATTTAAAGCATTTTAAAACTAACTGCTCTTTGTTCTCCACTAGTTTTTCATGGTGAGATTGTGTCTGAGATGGGGGAGCTTGGTGTTTTGGGACCCACCATTAAAGGTATGCACAATATATCAGTCCCATATCGGTTAGCAGTCGATATTAGAGTGGGGCTGCATGGTTCATTGGAATAAAATCGAAATCTGCCATTTAATTCAGTAAATACATTTTTCAGAGTAAAGCGCGCCACTGTGTTCATTTACATGAAAATAATTAATAAACGAAATGAATAAACTGAAGCAGCTCATGATTCACGGTTTCGGTTCGCAGTAAATGCTTATCCACACAAACTCATCTCTGCATCTGCTCCGAGTTTGGCTCACTTGTAATGCATCATGATCAAATTGCAAATAGGTCTTTTCCCCAAATCATGCAGCCCTACATCAAGAGATTTGTTCAAATATACCCTTCCCGTCATCTAATACCTAGTCAGGAAATACAGAACTGATTATTTGTTCAAAGTGTAACCATCTATACGTTTCTGTAACTCTCTTTCACTCTTGCACACTTCCCTATCAAGGTTACGGCTGTGCTGGCACAAGTTACGTGGCGTACGGTCTCATCGCGCGTGAGGTGGAGCGAGTGGACAGCGGCTATCGCTCGGTCATGAGTGTGCAGTCCTCGCTGGTCATGCACCCCATCAATGCTTACGGCACAGAGGAACAGAAGGAGAAATACCTGCCCAGGCTGGGTACGACCGCAAAAATCAGTAGCCAAACATTCAGTAAATGTGTCAGTGCAAAAAATCCCAATGGATCATTATCTTTTGATTTTGAGCTTAAGTATTGCTTGTAAGATTCACCCACTATTGTCTCTGTCATGCAGCACGAGGAGAGATTCTAGGTTGTTTTGGACTGACAGAACCAAACCATGGCAGTGACCCGAGCAGCATGGATACCAGGGCCAAATACAACCCATCCAGTCGTACCTTCACCCTCACCGGCTCCAAGACATGGTGGGTTATATAACGCACAAGCTTTAGGACAACAGTAAAGACTAGCAAAGTTCACAAATGCATGGGACTGCATAAGAAATCACAATCCATTTGTACAAAATGAGGTTAAGTAACATTCACTGGCATTTACAAACTGTGTCCTCATGGTGGTGCCATGAACCTTTTTTAAAGACTGCATTCACTAAATGGACAGTTGCTGCCACTGTGCTATAGTGATGACCTATTTTTGTAGGCCAACCCTGAAGTTTGTATCACCCCGTTTTACTTGACAAAAAGCCAATAGGATTTTCCATGGGCTTTTGGATTATTCATCATGATAATCTTCTCAAATGAATACAGTTATGAATTATTATTTATAATCATTTATAAATATAATTGTCAGAAAAAGAAAAAAAAAACAGACTACA